AGGAGATAACCGCCCGCATTTCCAAGGCTTGAACAGCATACGCAGAACTGAAACATCTATGGCGTAGACGCGACGTTTCACTGAAGTTGAAAGGTCGTGTATGTTGTGCTAACGTTCGTTCAGTCCTGCTTTATGGTTGTGAGACCCAGAATTTGAGGGCAGAAGATATCCGTCGAGTAGAAGTTTTCGATTATCGGTGTTTACGCAGTTTAGCCCATGTTGGATGGAGCGAACGGGTTAGTAACGTGGAGGTAAGCCGTCGTGTGTTTGGGAGTCTGTCAGGTATAAACCTGTTAGCATACCGAATTCAGATTACTAGGCTTCGCTGGCTAGGGCACGTATTGCGTATGCCCAGCCATCGTCTGCCGCACCGCGCTTTATTCGCTGTAGCTAATCCGGGCTGGAGGAAACCACGTGGAGGTCCACAGATGACGTGGAGACGAGGTATGAAGAAATCCACAGAGCCATTAGGTAGAGTAGGTGTTTCTCGCCTTCCAGGTTGGGGTCCGAAAGACTCCGCAACTGGGCTCCCTTTTTCAAAAAGGATGCCGCTTTTCTCGAGGGATCCAACGATTAGCCACAAGGATGTTCGAGTGACAGCGAAGGAAACGGTATAGGCAGACTGCAGGATCTCGGGCTCTTCTCATTCATACATACAAAATTATGAATGTTCTATTTGGGATCGATCAGGGAATGATCTTTGAAGAGTTGCAAAGTGAACGAGGGTCACATATATAAGCTGAAGAAAATGCGCACGACACTAGCGGTGCGTTCGAACTTCTTCAGCAAAAGGGTGGGCACTCTATGAAATGAGTTACCACCTGAACTGGTTGAACCTCGTTGCGTACACGCGTTGAGGAATCTCTTCGGTTCACCGAAGATCTGAGGTAAACTTGATACCGAAGTCCTCAACCCTACTTACTGCTTCTATAGTAATGACAGACTGGAATGTTTTACAACAAAATGTTCTTCGTTGGGTTCCTTTCAGTTGCCTTTCACGAGCTTGTGCTTTTGCAGTAAAACCTACGGTTTTCGTCTTTTTGACACGCGAGCCCTCTTGAGCACAGTTTTCGTCTTTTTCTTTTCTTTCTCTCTTCGCTTAGTTCTACGTTCCACATTGATTTCGGAGTTTACCTTCACGATTCTCTACCTCAAAACACGTGAACATTCCCCTGACACGGAACCGCAATTTTCGTTTATCCATTTTCGAAATGAATGATACCTAAAGAGCAAATAGTTCCGTTTGGACAGCGTCGCTGATGGTAGCATGCTCGGCACTTGTCACACTGGATCTCGTTTTGCATTCTACTGGCGTTGACTGGCACTGCGTGCGTCACTACTTGGTGCCATGTAGCTAACAGTGATAAAAACCAAGACAGATAATGAGAAACCTGCTTAAACAGTAAGATGTTCCCCCCTTTAGTGGGATTAAAGAGACACGGTTAATGATCGTCAATCCACGTCGAAGCAAATTAAAATCTTTCTTAAGGAGGTTGGGAAAAATAACAGGTGAACAATAAAGTAAAACAGGGAAAACACACTGATACACAAAGTTGGAAATAATTGTGGAATACGAAACGGACGAAGTTTATGGATATGAAAGGAAAGTCGTCGAAGCTTACTGACGATGTGTTTAATGTGAGAGGTCCAGTGAAGATTCGTATCAATAGAAACGCCCAGGTATTTAATACAGTTAACCCGGGATACTGGTTCGAAACCAATCGATACCGGTTCAAATGGGAAAGAAGGGCGTGATAGTGTAAAGAGACATTCGAAACATTTGGAGGGATCAAGAGATAGGCCCGATGTGGCGGAAAGTCGTTGGACGTTTTCCAAGTTGTCAGAAAATTGTGAAAGACCAGAAGAGTCAGAGATGGCCTGACACAAGACCACATCGTCAGCATACTTGAAGAGAGAAGTAGAGGCGCAAGCAGACAAGTCACTAATATACGTAGAAGATAAGTATGGGAAAGAACTGCACCTTGGAGTACTCCAGAGCTGTTCAACAACGGTTTGGATTTCCTTCGACCTAACCTGGTACACTGAGTTCTCCCAGAGAATTAATCGGCAAGCCAAGCTAATAACTGTCTAGGACAACCAAAGGTCTCTAGTTTATGAAGAAGAAGGGAACGGGGAATAGAATCAAAAGCGGATGAGTAGTCCAGAAACACAACGGACAGATTTCGCAGAGCCATTCAAGTACAAGGTGTAATAATGGCCAGTCAATGCTTATCCGCGTTTGTTACTATGGGATATCTCAAGGTACTTCACAATTGTACCAATAGGTAAAACACTAAGAAACAAGTGTTATCAGGGTGAAATAACCTGCGAACAGGAATAAAGTGTAACTTCCTCCTTGACTACGAATTATCGAAAGAAGCCATAAAATCCGATTAAGAAAGACTCCAGCCACTGTGACGGACCACCGCCTTAAGCTTTGAATTTGTAACTTCACAACATTGGTTTGTTTGCGTCCTATCCTCATAGTAGACATCGATTTCTGAATCACATTTGCTCATTGGTTCACAATTCGACGTCTTCTTTACCTAATCACGTGAAATGTGCCCTTCAATCATCGATGACCGACCGCAGTCACCACGGTTGATCCTAACACTCCTCTGGCAGCCAAGGTGAAATCAAGGTAAGCAAACCCGCCAAGTATCTGCGTTCCGTTGTTCTGAAGGAAGCAATTGTTGTATTGCTTACTGCTTTTTCAGTCATCAGACGTTGAGATTAAATAGTTCACATCGAAATAGTCGTAATCGCCTCAAAAATCCGAATATCCCGAGTCTGAACGCCGCTGAAAGGTCAGAATGGATAAACGGCGCCGAGGTTAATAGTTTACTGGGATTTAACGTACAAAGAGCCATTGTAAGTTCGTGTCTGGCGAATGATCCCGTCTTTCGAGTTGGGGTCTATGTTTGCAAATGGTTGGTTGAAGAAACTGAAGGGCATGGTAGGAACCGACCGCAGCGGTAGGTTTGTTATTTTTCGTCATATTCCAGGGCTTGAAGACTCATATACGCCAATCTAAGTCGTTCTTTTATTAGATAAGGGGCATAAATTGCAGCAGATATGACGAATTCTTTTGCGTTGGGTCTTCCTGTAGACGAAGAAAAAGGGTTGCGAAATAATCATGTCAAAATTAATTTGTTGATTCTTTGTTTGAGAACTTGGGGATTATAGGGAGGTCAACCGCGTACCGGTTTTCCGAGAAGAAGGAATGACTGTACCCAGATGTGTTAACCCTAGAGGTCCCCCCTATTTTGTAATCCCTTATATATTCTTGAGCTTGACGGCGATCGTATAAGTTCACTTCACAATGTTTCACCGTGCTATGGTTGTTTGCAAAATACATTATTGTTCCTCCTTGTATTTTCGGCTTTATTGTGTGACACGACATCAGCAATAATCCATTTTACATTTTTTTCACGGTATTACTTTCAATAAAAAACATTCGTGGGTTTTCGCTTCATTTGATTACCACAGATTTCAGAAAGTACATTTCTATTTCCCTTTGTTTTAGATCATTTTGATTTGTGTGCTTCAGCATCTCTTTAAACTGGTTCCTGATGGGTTTTCTGAATGATTTTAAAGCTGTTTACACGTATCCCAAAGAAATCACTCTGCTTGATGTTCAAAGAGTCGTTTTTGAACACTTTTTCGATTTAAGAAGGAACGCACGGGTATCGTCGCCTGAAGTTAGAAACGCTCCGGAACGTGCTATTCAGAAAGAGAAACCGTGTACATGGTATGACTGGAACAAACTCAAATAACCTTACTTTTTCAGTCGTATAAATCCTTGTGCAGATGTTACCCTAGAGGATCTACTACAGTATCGTAGTCTTCTAACTGCAGTAGCCAGCGATGTCCCTTCAGGGCATGACGGTAGCCAAAAGCGGAAAAAAGCAGACCAGATGGATGAGCTGAAAGTGAGTGCGGCCTTTCTTTTTTGATTTTTCATTCATTTCAGGTACTGCATTCTCGTGTGACCAAGGCACAGATAAGCATTCAGAAACAATTGCTCGAATGTGCTCCGTGCAGTCATAGTGTTCTCCCATCCCAACGTGAGTCCGCTCTACTCGAAGCCATTTCGAGGTGTCAGAAAATGAATTTCGGTAGTCTATTGCAACCCGCTTATCAACTTATTGAGGACGTAAATACTCCTAACAGCGACCCTGCCTTTATTAAGTTTACTGGTGGCGAGACATCCATGGTGAGTTGCCTTCGATATTTTTATATGCATCTACTTCTAGATCCACAAGCTTTTAATACCTGGTGCTGGGAAAAACAGCCTTGTATACTCGGATGAGCTTAAGTTATTTGTAGACAATCATGTAAGTTTTGTATATTGTTTAATTAATAATTTTTCTAACTAAATGGTAATCGTTGATGTCAACTACTAATGTTTTGATTCCATAAGGCGGAGCCTGGACGAGGATAGTTGTTGATTATAAATGACGGTCAGGGTATCGGTAAATTGGCATGCATACAATGAAATGTCTCATTTGGAAGGAGTGTTCAGAATTCCCATACAGGATACTTAATGTAACTGTCTAACAGTAGATGCGCACTGCTGTAGTCACCATACTGAACACAGCAATTCGCTCCAATAGGTCTTGTTCATTTCCCACCGTTGAAAGAAACTGCTAATCGCATCCGTTTGCAAACTACTCACAAATGTGAGTAGTACATCACAAGACTAAGTACAACTTCTCTTTTCATTGATTACTATCGCATCCATTAGTTTAAATCTTTTGAAACTAATAATTATTAGTCGCATTTCCTCGGGAAGGATTCTTGCAGACTATAAACAACCATTGCTTATTGGTGTATTGTTCACGTCCCTCTACATGCTCTTGATTCCGATGCATGCCGTCTCGTATAGACAGTGACCGAATTTCATTTGTTCTCGGAATTGTACATTTACTCAAACAGAGAAGGGGCAGCAGATACACTGCACCATAACCTCGAAGCTGCAGTTATTTTTACAATCTCTGAACCGTTTCCCTCGATTAATGAATTCAGTGAGGCAATTGACGTGTTTAGTCTTTGACTGAAATGTTAGCTGTTATGCTCTCAAAAGTTAACTGATGTAATACGATAGAGATGTATTTCTGTTTAATGCATAGCAACTTTTTGTCCGTTCTTTTTTATCATCTAAAATATTTTCTACAAATGTTATTTCGATGTACTTAGCATTGGAGAGATGAATATTCAGGCGATACTAAGTGTCAAACAAGATGTCTTGTCCACTGAGAGAACTTATCTTTTAGTTTGAAGGTGATTGTAATAGCATGGGGGTGGAGACTAATAATTGTGCCGACCGGTCTAGAATTAGAGGACGCGCCTATTAGAACTATCAGCGGCAATCCTTGGGAAATAAGTTGCTTAGTTCGATTCACCTGTTCGAAATCACACCACTGCAGACCTCTTCACATTGAAAGTCTTTTAGCAGCATAAATAATTTTCCAATTCTCTCTTTAGGGAAAGCAAGCGAGAATAATTATCGGCATATGGATAGTGGCGATGCAGTGGTTTAGTCGCTGTCACCGATGTGCTTAGGATCCTATGGTCCGAGTTTCAACCCCCGCCCCTGCCACCAAACTTCTATGGCAGGCCGTTTTGCTATCGTCCTGTTCAATACCACACCTAACCCAATGGAGCCTTATGTGGTTCGCCACTTCAAGTCTCGGGGCTTCGGTTGCTGGTTTCCATTACTGTACAGCAGATCTTCGTGACTGGGAAGTTCGCTCCGTCTGCTCTTCATCATGCAAAATGTGTGATAAAAAGGATAATCAGGATAACAATTTCCGTCGCCTTTAATATAAGGGTGGTTTGATCAATGGCTTGGTGTCTGGGAATCCCAACCCAGGTTTAATTCTTTGTATTCCATCCCAGACGCCCTCTCTTCTCTGTACGCGCATTAGCGTAGGCGGTGTCCATGCGTGGGTTTGAATCCTACCGAGGCTACTGAACTTTTCACAATTGACATACAAACTTCAAATCTGCCAAACAACTATTTGAACCCTCTCTTCTCTATGCAACCTATCCTCAGATAACGTATTTGTCACGTCTAGGCCGTTTGTTAGGTTGTTTCATTAGTATTCCCA